CCCCAACCATCCCACAGTCCTGACCCTGTGGCAGGGTGAAGCTGCCCCTGCAGCCCCTCGTGCCCTGCAGGTGCCCCTGGCACTCACCAGGGGGATTATGAAGCTCTGGGTGAGCTCCAGGAGGTGTCTCCTCAGCAGGGCACTCTGCACCTCCGAGGGTCGTTTCCTCTGGATGCCCTGGAGACAACCACAGTCAGCCAGGAGGAATAGCCCCGAGCCCCCTGCAAGCTCTGCTGCCCCAACACACATCCCACCATCCAAACATCCACATTTCCCTGCTTCCTCAGCCTCCTCATTGGCTATCTCTTGTTCCCACTCAGCATATGGTGTTTAATCCCTAACATCCAGGGCACAACCTCTAATGTGCCATGATAAACACGTCCCAATAAACCCAACTCAGTCATCCCACTCACTAAACTCAGCTCCCTCTGGAGAGCTGAGGTCAATCCAAGCTCTTGGCACAGTTTTCCAGGATGCAGGAGAGAGTAGAAAGTTCTTACCTTTAACAACCTTTTGATCAGGGACTTGTCCTTGTGCAGGAATGTTTTATAGGAAGTGTAGATTCCTAAATTGGGGAAACCCCCACAAAATCAGAAAAAATAGAAGTTAGAGATTAGTTTCTTGCCCATTTCTCTGGAGGAGACACAATTACACAGAGCAGGGAGAGAAGAGGTGACATTTCCAGCACAAACTGGGAGTGGAATTCCAAAAATCAGGGTAAAATTAGGAGAAAAATGTGGAATTGCTAATTCCAGCAGGGTTGGAGGGCACTGAACGACCTCAAGGACCAAGCTAGTGGCGAGAGAAGGTCCTGGAGGCAGCTCAGGGCTAGGCCTGAGGTGGACACTGAGCTGTGAGTAGGTTCTCTGCCTCCCACAGTACCTAACCAGCAGGTCTGAGCCACAAATAACCCCAAGCAAACACTAAAATCATGCATTTAGTTGGTTTCTCTTGGCTTTTGCCATCCCAGAAGTTTCCCAGTGTCCACCAGAGGATGTCACTGCTGTGAGGAGCTGTGAGCGTGTGAGGTGGTGCCACCAACACATCCATTCCTTGAGATCCAGAGAGCCACAGACAGTGTCCTCCTGCCTGCAGGAGCCTCTGGGTGGGAGGACAAACCAGATGGGATTGTGGCTGAGGAAAGGACTCACCTGGTTTGGTGTCCAGAGTCTTTAGCTTAGCCAACTTCTTCACCTTCACCTGCTTGGGCAAGTCCCCTGTGACACAGCAAGGAGGAGCTCAGGCTCTCCCTCTGCCCTGGGGAGCACTTGGGAACATCCAGCCCAGCCCTTGGACATCTTGAGTCACACCCTCCCTTCCCTCCTCCCTCAATGAATCCTTCTCATCTCACTTTCCTGCT